TGAGATCCGCGGGACGCGCCCTTTACGATCACCATCTCTTCGGGACGGCTTAGGTCCGTCGGGACCGTCCAGGGGAGGAGATATCAGCTGCGATCCTGGGAGCCCAGGATCGCCCGCCGTATCGCCGCGACGCCAGCTCCGCCCTCAACTTGATGGCATGTTATTGTACCTAGAGTTCTTCAAGTGAACTCAGACAACCAGCTCTGCAGCCCAGTCTGGTGTTAGGTCACCTTAGTGTTCTTCTCAGGATCTGAGGGGTTTTAGCAGGAGCTCTACCTAATCAGATGTAGTACACATAGAGGGCCAAGAAAATCTGTAAGCTTTAGAAGTTTCTGAACCAGTTCTGCACAGATGCATAACTCATGTCCGTGAATTCACAGATGGCACTCAGAGAAGTCCAGTTACTAATAACCAGTTGTGTATCCTTCCCCACACTGTTCAACTTACTTTATGCTGAATATGAGACAGAATATGAGGTTGAAATTAGAGATATGGTCCATTAGTTTTATAACTGATTCCATGGCAATGACTTTCAGAAGATAGTCATGTTAGCCTCTTGCCGCAAATATAACAGAGTTGTGGCACCTTAAGAGTGAATGGATTATCACATAAACATTTGTTCATCTGTGGATATTTCTGTGGCAATGAATGTACCATCACTAGTAAAATACACGTTTCTAATAGAGAGTGATTTTTAATATATTTTTATGGAGCATTTTACAAGTGACAAAGATAATTGAAGATTACTAAAGAGAAAAGCTGTGAAGATGTTAAAATTGAGACAGGTATTTTGTTAGCTCAGTAGTATAATTTGTATAGAAGTATGAGTGAATAGAAGCAAAGATGAATATTATATTCCCGAGCCATTTATAATTTCAAGATGGTACAAAATTTATCTCAAACACACCAAAATAGTCAGTTATTTCTGCATTTGTACATTTTTGCTTCTTCAGTTACTTAGTAAAAGAGATTTGATTTCCATCCACTGATTCTTTGGCAGCATAGATAATGGTTGAAGTATTCCAAAATTTGTAGGTTTTCTCTGTTCACTGAAAATAGAAGGGAAAGTTTAACACCTGTCAGTCTAGTCCATCTGTTGAAGTGAGTAGAGAAATTCTATTCTATTTAATTTATTCTATTTAATGTTACCTAACATTAAATAATTTTGTTTCTAGGCAGCTTCTTGATTCCATAATCTATAAGTACAGATCCTTGGTTTTTTACTTGATTAGTACATTTAAAATTTTGTGTGACAAAAAGTAATGTCAATCACTAAAGTATTGGACTGATAAGTACTGAATAAAGAATTCAATTTTGGTATTGTGTGCAGTATCAAAAGAGCAGAGTGGTTACAATATAAACTGGCACTTGAGACAGAAATATCAGAAGAAAAAATCTGGTTAAAAATACAATAATAAATTAAACATATTGTGTTGAGTAAGTTATTTTCTGTCTCTATAAGTAACTAAAAGTGCCAGAAAATATTACTTTCATGCTAATTAGAGCAGACTGTTTATTCAATACACTAAAAAAAGAAATCCTCTGTAGAAACAGTACCAACATCATGTTTCAAATTAGCTGTCTCATTGTAGTCATGAATAATGCTGCTTGATTAAAGGGTAATTCATTCATAAGCCAATACTGTGAATTTGAGATCTTGACTCCATTAGTATGTTTGGGTAAACTTTTTAGCAATTTCCTAAGTATAGTGAAATAAGACAGATGTGAGATAATTCATGAGGGTCTTTTTTAGTGCATGTGAATTTGAGTTGTTTTGAGGCTACAATTAGTTTCTTTTTTTAAAAAAAATACAGTGCATCAGTAAAATCTAGAAAATGAAACAGCATAAAGAATAACAAATAAATCATCAAAACAGAAAAGCTACATAGGAAAAAGAAAGGAAAGGCATAAATTTAGATGTATAAGTACATGTAATCTTAAGGAATTTAAGGAGAGATACAATATTTAAACATCCATATTTAATATTTCTTTCCAGAAAGAAATTTCCGTAAACATAATTTATTACAAATTACTTTGTTAACATAACTAAAATGTTATTTTATTTACCACACTTTTCAATACCTCTTATTCAAAGGGAAATTTCCAGTGTTTTCCAGTAGTTACTTCACAGTTTGTTTTGTTTATGAGGCAGATCAATGAACTCCCTTGACAGAGATATAAAAATGAATGTTTTGTTAGGGGCAGCAGTTGGAAAAATGATTTGGCTAGATAGCTGAATATTATGTATATCAGAATGTTTAAGATCTGAATTTATAGATATTGAAATCAGCTGTTTTTTTGGGAAGTAGTAAAAACTCAATCAAAATATTTTGTGTACTTTTAGGTATAGTGTGGTCTCAATGCTGTAATTGAAACCAGTTTTGGTGACCATATAGTCTTCAATCTTACAATACCATTTGTCATATGAGATGAGAGCAAATCTTCTCAGAGTATCTATCTATCTATCTATCTATCTATCTATCTATCTATCTATCTATCTATCGGCAGAACTTGATAGGAAATAGTATTAAAGATTAGTGTTTATTTGCTCAACACTTCAGTTTTGCTGGGGTAGGTAGGAACATGGAAATGTAATTAACTGCATTTTAATGAACAGCGCTCATAGTGGTGTACAATATTGGTGGCAATGGTGATATGCTGTAGTTTTCTCAAATAAAGTGGTTTTTAATGAAACTGCCCTTATCTAACATGGTAAAGGGAGTATCAACTTGAAATTGATCCTCTCTAAGATCTGCCTGCAAGGAAAGATAGTACTTTAGAGATAATAAACAGTAGCTTAAATTGAATTTGGTATTTATTATGTGTTAGAAATGATTTTATGCTAAATCTACATCATGTTATAGTTTTAAAAAGTTTGATTAGAGGATAGGATATTGGACTTAAAATATCAGGAGTTCAAATCCTTGCACAACCATGAAGTTGACTTTGGCTTCAGAGATCACTGTTAAATTAAAAGAGGATAATTTTACATGGACTGTGGCAAGGTTCTGAGAAATAAATCAGGAAATAAATATTTTGAGAACAAAGGGTATCTTCTTGGATAATATGAGTAAAAAACATTCCTACATTGCATTAGTTTTTCTGAAACTATTTCTGCACTCCTTTTTTGAGAGATTCTAATAATAAAGCAAAGAAAACAAAGTCTGTTTTCTATAAATGCTACAGAATCGGGAGTAGTTAAGTATAGATTATTAAGTTTATTGCCCCCAAAGCTGTAGTTTTTCTTTGATAATGGCAATTTTATTATTCTTGCAGGGCTGTTGATAGAATTGATGAAGACCCTAATTTGGTTCATATGGAAGTCCAGGATCCAAATGGAGGTACTCATTAGGATATTGCAGTTGTTTCCTGTTTTGAACATTTTGGGTTAAATTCAAAGAAAATTTAACCAAAAATTTCTGGTTAAGTTCACAAAAATTGGGACATGTACTCAGCAACTCTATCTCATCTCTTTTTCTCATTTTTATGTGTGGTGTACTGTTGTCAGTGTGAAAAGTCTTTCATGTTTGCTTTAGTCTAAATCATGATTCCTTATGTAATAAATAAAATGTATTGGTGTGAGGGTCAGAGTTCTACGTTTAGGCCTTCTTTGACTTTCTGAGGCACTGTCTCAGTTATAGAGGAAAGAAAAGGAAGGGTATAATTAGTTTGATGATGTTTAAACAATAGTTTATTGTTTAATAAATTTATAATATTGATCAAGTTAATTAGTATCACAAATTATGAAAAAGTAACAAGTAGTCCAACCAAGAAAGGTTCAACTCCCATTTTTATCTGCTTTTTAAGATTGAAAAGTTAATTTTTTAATAAGTGAAATAAGTGTGCTCACAATGCCATAATTTAAAAAAAAACACAATGTGTGGTAGAAAAATATAAGTTAGTATTATTAGAAAATAAGCCCAACAACATTATAGTTAAGTGAGCTAATAATGTAGATACAAAGGGCAAACAAGATTTTGTACAAAACGAAGAATAAAGGGGAGATAAACTGAATCAATGCACATGTAACTTTTTATTTGTAATTTTTTAGATTGCTGCATTCCGTGTAATGTGAGTACCTTAGCTAATCAGTGTGTACCACAAGTTTGCTTGTGTTGTGCATGTGTAAACATTAATAAAAGACTGTTCACTGAGGTATTGACATCTATTCCTGTGGGAAAGATTCAGTGATCACTATTAAAGAACCTAATAAAGAAAACTGTCACTTTATTTAATTGTATACTTTAATTGGGTAAAGGAATACATTTTTCCACAACATTTTGGTGTGAGCAGTGGGATAGAAACAGTCATTTGAATGAAATAGTATATTTGAGTGAAACAGGAACTGGGGGCCCATGGATCATTTTGTCCTTACCCCTTGCCCTCATGTCTTCCTCATCCTTCTCCAATTGAAGCTGGTAGGGAGAAAGTACAGGTAAGCCAGCAAAAAGAGATATCCAGGTTTGCTTCTGACAGACCCAACCCTTTCCCCCATGTTGGGTGAGCCTGTGACAGGGACTCCCCAGTAGGTTTTTAACCAGGTCACCAGTATTCCTAAACCCCAGTATGGGGTTCAGAAGCAAGAATGTAAAATATTTGGTGGACAATGGAATGGGTGAGCAGAGGAGGTCCAACTGAGGCAGTTCCCAAACATGGGAACTTTTGATTTAGATAAGAAAAAATTCGGTAAGAAAAAAAAAGAGTATATTGAGGAGTGGTTGTGTATGTAAAAACTAAAAGTTCCATCTACGTGTTTTCAGCCTACAGGTAAAATAAACATTTTAATTGATATGAGGAAAAGTCTAAAAAATTGCATGAATCAAAACATAATGACAAATTGAAAACCTAATTTAAAGAGCTGAAAACTAACTACATACGTGAAGTTTATTTTAGTTAGAATGACGAACTTTTCAACTAAGAGGAATCTCAAATGTGGAATCTTGAGGACTCTCAAGGGAAAAAACTTATTTTATTATTATGTAAAAATAATGTAATAGAAATCAAATTTTATTTTTTGAATTAAGGAAAGCAAAACTGCTGTGCTTCATTTTTAAAATGTCCATCACTGCCAGCTAGTATGAAGTGGACAGTTTTTGATTTATGCAGGAATGCAGACATTTTGTTTTCCCTGGAAAGTTGAAGTGCATCTAAGTCAAATCCAAAACCAGAGAAAGAGAGAAATAACCTGAGCCTGTGTCAGAGTGTCTTAGGGTCCTGCTTCCTATACCCCCGTTCCACCCAATTGCTATTAGTAGAAATCTTCAGTATCAAAATAATCAATGTATTACAAGCAGCAGTTACAAAATTCATTAATTACCATGAATAAATTGTTCACTAAATTGGACAACCTACTTTAATGAAGTATTTTACAAACTCAGGGAATTGCAAACAGTTTTTAGTGTCTATAAACATTATATTTAGGTACTAAAATAAAAAACAAATGATCAAATATTCACAAAAATGCTTTATTAAAGTAATTAATGATAAAGCTTAATCAGGCAGCCTTTAATAACTTGAATGGCTATTTCCTTGCTCTCATTTTGCCAATTATTAATTAAATTATGGAGCTTAATTTAAGCTTATTTCCTGCTACAACTATATAGGTAGTCCTTGTTTAGCAACTACAACTGGAACCGGCAACTCACTTGTTAAGTGAAGCTGTCGCTAAGTGAAACCATGACTGTGCTTATCTTACTTCAGCTTTGCTTTGCTTTCCAGACTTGCGAAAGTAGTAAATGTGAGGATTAGTCCTAAAGTTACTTTTTCATTACTGTTGTAACTGCGAATGGTCGCTAAATGAGGCAGTTACTAAATGAAGATTACCTGTAATAGGATAATTACATTTTTCTTGGCCTGCAGTAGCTCTTCAAGAAGTAGTAGTCAGAGAAATACTGTTTCTTGTATTATATTGTAAAGGCATTGGATAACTTGTGTCATTCTGTGAATAACGATACTACCGTATTTTTCCGACTATAAGACAATACTTTTTTCTAAAATCCTTACCCTAAAAACTG